GGGGGGGGGGTTGAATGAAGAATGTAACAATATCAATCTACAGACCAATCAGCTGAAGATATTGAAAACATTAGACATCAAGAAGGAAACTGGGAGTCAAACAGACAACTTTGAACTTTATTATAGCATCCACGATGAAATTAACCATACCCAAATAATAATCGTCCGGGGATGCCACTTTTATTCGCAGTTTTCATTTTTCTCTCCCTCCCCCTCCACAAATACCCCAACCCCCCCCCCCCCTCTGTCCCCTATATAGGTCACTTTTTTCTATGTGAAGGAGAAAGCTAGATCCGTGGCAAATGGAAATGAAGTAGAGGGGCACTTGGATTTACCGAACGAATACGCCGAGAGATTGAGATTAGAGAGGTACCGTATGCATACAAAAAGATAAATTAATATTAAGCTTTATGTAAAACTAGTAAACACAGGATATTACTACTAATAACAACATACTGAACATTCTATAATTACTAGAAAGTGGTCATGGTGATCACCAAGTACTTCAATACACAACTCAGCACGTCTCAACATGTTTTGGGATACTTTTGTCAATGGGCGCTTGGTCTGATTTCCGCAACGCGTTGCGAATATGGCCATTAACAATTCTTTGTCGCTATTGTGCGTAGTCTGTGGAATGCAGTGTCTGCATCATCCTCACTTCGTACACTCAACGTGTTCTGGCATGAAATTCGTTTAATGTCTAGTTGGAAGGAGAAACATCCACTTGACATGGCAGCAGTAGACTCTTTTAAAAGCCAAATATTTTCAGGTGAAAAAACAACTTAAGCACTCGGTTATGTTTAGTGTTAGCAACTGAACCTGAAGCTCACTTTTTGGACGCACCGCTTTTATCATGAGCAAACTCTTCCCATTTAACGTTGCAAACGACTTACGTCTCAAATAAGTTTCAATAATAAACAGCATTCTCTGCAGGCAGTATTCACAACCATTATTTAACAAGTGACAACGAGACACTGATAAATACACAGTTAACACAAAATGGCACATGGACACCATGTGACCTCACTCAAACGTTCAATATCACTTTAAGTATGATGAAGGTCACAAGACCGCCATTTCTTTGGCTACACTGTAGAATTTGGTAAAAACTGAATCACTTCAGAAATACAAACTAAAACAGAAAATGGATTATTTAGATTCCTGACTCCAAACAATGCTATAAAATCCCTTGGCAAAGTAGATCACTGAAAAAAATAGTCAAGCGGGGGTAAACTGGTAGCCGAGTCAGAAGGGGTCAGGCTGTGGTATTCATTCTGGAAGAATATGTAAGTAGATCACCAATCAGAGTCTTTTTACAACCAATGCCTTCGCAAGGAATCTCACTAAGTAAAAAGGCATAACAACCACTACCTCGTGTTCATCCAATCACTTCTCTAATGACTCCTGTTAGCTAATGAGAGCGCAGAGATTCAACCACTTGCATAAAGAGTGCATAAGAATCTGACAAAGCAAAGACAAGAGAGCTACAGTGTTTATATTTTTGCCTGGGGATGATCAATTCTCACAGACTGCCTAAGTTGTGCATCACCCTTGCCGATATATGCTGGCGCACATCGCTCCAGACAGCTTGATAGTTATGTCGTCACACACAAAAAAGACTGTTTTCAATCATATGGTATTTTGATCTCTGGACTTGAATACCACGAATCAAGAAACGTGGTAGCGAGTGGTAAGAGTGGAGATAATCTAGAATCAAACTTCACAAAAGTGGACGACTGAACAGTTAAAAATCACTAGAAGGCTACATTCCCAGACTTTAACAACCATACACTGTGAATTATTGATTATTAACTCTCTCTCTCTCTCTCTGTCGTGCCTAGGAAGAAAGTTCCAGTACCGTCGCAATTACCGGCAAAAAGTAGCGATTGCAGTCGTAATCTAATTATGGTCAGCCAAACTTACACTTGTAGATATTGCACTGTTATATAATTTGACAACGTATAAGAGAAAAAAGAATATCTGTTAGAATGCATGAGAGTAGGAATTGAAAACACATGCAAGTCCTGTGAATGAGTATTAGGACATTATAGAAAAGAACAGATTCAGGGATATACATGATAATCGTTTATAGGCAAGTAGAGCAATATTGAAACCCGTTGAATATCTCATACTCAAATTCTCCACAGACAATCAATACAATTAAATTTATGTTCACTCAATGAGGATATCAAATGAATTATTGTAATATTTGCATAGCTATATCCAAATTGCCCTTGAGATAAAGGTTGCGAATTCATTATGAGCTCCAAAAAAACAAAACAAATCCAATTTCATTGCATGCTGAAAAATGGCCAAACAAGCTACTAGTATCAAAATACTTCATCAATATTGTCAAGGTCGCAGATTGATTGGTTCGACGCACCTAGACAGGTGTGTACGTAGTAATCCCCTAATTGGGAAATTTGAGAAAGAAAAGAGAAAGGAACACATTTTGTACAGTTAAAAGAGACGTTATGGCTTTTTTAGAACGCTTTCGGACGAAAATCAAAAATATTATTAAAATTTTGAAAAGTGAAATAATAAGACTACATCAAGCTAAGTATCAAATTTTAAAACCCTACCAATTCTATGAGAATGGTCGCAGAAAGTAAAGAAATAAACCCATTTAGTCAGAGACCACTGTCTTACAAACATAACAAAGAAACTCCTACGAGTGAATGTGCCAAATTTCTGGATGCTTAAAGTGAACAGAATCCACTATGTTTAAATCATCATCAATTGGCGTGGTGCCTTCAACTCTGAATCCAAGCGCCATGCTTATTTGTTTACGTGAAATATTTTAGGGCGAAAGCAACACTCTTCCACAACTTAAAGATTAGTTCAAAATGAATACAATCGATTTTTCGACAGCTTAATACGTAAAAGGCGTGACATCCAATGTAAACTAACCACGTAACCGGACATAAAAGAAACTAAAATACGGAAATCGCTGACTTTATCCATCTGTCACCGATTTAGGATATGAATGAGGAAGTAATCTGACTGCATGAAACGAAATACTATAACAATTTCCGAGTCAAGTCCGTTTTAATGGTAAAAGGTTCAAATCTTCTTCATTACCTCTGTCCTTCATGCAATAAATTTGCAATTCCTTTATAAAGATTTGCGACAAATCACCTTAATAAAAAATTCTACACACATTGGTATGATCAGTATTGAAACAAAATCAATTTTACCAGCTGCCACCTAGTTCACTAATGTTTGCTCTGAATACTCAAGTAAACACAAATTCTTTAATCGATATTCATCCAAACAAATATTGACTTATCGAATTGTACTTAGTTTGCCGACTTGCCAAGAAAACAATCTACTTGACTCATAGAAATTGATTACTAAGTACATATGCGCTAGACTGCAATTAGAAATGATTATTAGGGAAAGTAATCGATATTTGTCCAGTGTGGTCTGACACATTAAATGACACGTGGTAGATGAATCATAGGAACGTCTAAAGTCACTCCTTACCGGACACGAAAATACCGCTCGCATGAAACGTAGAACAGGAGGTGAAACTTGTGCCCCGGCGACGAGAACCAAACGCAGATTTCCGCCAAATTTGCTTCGAATTCGAGAGAATACCAGGGTATCCCAGATTGAATTGTTCTTAAATACTTGTCTGCAAAAAAATAGAGAATTATCTCAAAAATAGCATAATTCCAGCTGCAAAAATGGCCTAATAAGAATGGGCCAATCATTGAGCGATAGCCTTGAGGGTTAAAACGGCCAGTCATGCTTCCCATATGCGCCAGATGATGACCTTATCTAAGTGCTCATGTCCGCAATGGGCAATGTTATACTTAAGTGAATAAGCATACACCTGGATAACATTTTGACTTGAAGGAATTAATTTATATTCAAAGAGGCATTTAATGACAAACAATTGTACTATGAAAGTGGTATATTCAGTGAGTTAACGAAAATTGGGTTTGTATGAAGGCAGAGCTAAGAGAATTGACCTTGTGATGACGATCGATAAAGCCACATCTTCAGTGACATTTTATATGATAGACAAAAGAGACAAATTCTAGTGGAACTTAGATAGAAAATTACTTAGTTGAACCAACTCTAGGTTATCACGTGACTGGCATTCTAAGACAAGCGCAACCAACTTCCTGTGTTATTAAGTTTCTGGTAAATAGAAACGTTATGGCCCTATCAAGGATTGGGGAAGATGAGTGAACTAGTATCCATGGGATAAAGGAAAACAAGCGCTAAATATTCATTAATATCAAGTGGCAGGCTTTATGATTGCTATTATTAATCCTTTAATTGACTTAGGGCTTCACAGAGGGGAGGAAAGCCAAAGTGACAAAAAGTCGATAGGGGGAACAGAAGAGTGATTCACAGATGTAAAAGAGACATTCTGACTGACACAAAGGCAGAGAAAAGGTAAGGCGAGAACTGTGAATTGGTCGAATCATGCTAGTTCAAGTCAACTGCCGGTTTATGGTTGTTTTTGCCGTATGAGTATACGTTGCCCAGGGTGCACCACGTGGAGGTAAGTCTATCGCACATCCATCACTGAATATAAATTACAATAAAGCCCTAATGTGTTCGTCTGCAAAGTTAGAGATCACGAGTTCAATGACCATCGATGCACATATCTGTAGTGTGAGCAAAATGAGCGTACGCACTAGTTAGGCCTGTTAGAACTCGATTGTTTCTGCGATCCTACTCCCACGTCCCAGATGGTTGTTGAAAAAGGCATTGCTAAATGGACTTGAGGGTTGGAAAGTAAGGGTTTCGTTGATTAGAACCTAATTACTTTCTTTTTAAAACTAGAAATACGTTAGGGGTCAAGTTTGATTGAAGCTATGAAGAGAATTGGGAGAAAATAGCACACAAATATCGAGAGTGCAGTAGTATGTTGGAAAACGCTAATTTTTTTGAAAGAAGCTGTGCGCACTAACGTCCGACAATTTAAAAAACAGTGCCAGTGGCGCCATTCCTGACATCGCCACTGCACACACAAAAACTAAATAACATAAACCAATAATCGGAGATAGTATAAATATATAATCAAACCCGATCCAATGAACCACAAATCTGCTTCCATCAACGGCAGTTGACTCCAATGATTGCAAATAAACACCGCAGCTTGCGCCTCCCAGGTGGTCACAGTCTTTATTATTATCAGTAAGAAAGGATACTGTTTCTAACATCCGTTAGTAAGGACACAATTGTTACCAGTTCGCCAAAAAGGTACGTGAAGACTTTTAGTAGTATAAGCTCCATCGGGGTTAAAGTTCTTCAGATATGCCAACCTAACTTTCCACCTATTGCTATTGATATAGGATTTGTGTCAGCTGTAGTTGCAACAGTAAGTTATAATGGTGTCGACGCAGCTTTATACAAACATTAAAGTTGAATGAAGCGGGGGAAACATATGGGGACAGGGACAGATTGAAATCCGATTGGTCAGACAACTAGTGAAGTTTACTTTCTTCCAAACCCATTTATAAAGAATTTAATCAAGCATAATCCTGATCACTTTTTTTCCTCTACTTACTTGTCAACTTGATGGCACTTCTCCTTTAGAGCGTACTTTAGAAGGAATTTTTTGAAAGGAGATTTGGAGACTTTCTGTGTGACGGCATCGAAGATCCGGCAAAGCAGACGTGGAACGGTTGTGAAGACAGTGGGCCTCAATACCTTCATGTCGTCACTCACAGTCGCAACATTTCCTGAGTAGAATCCAATTCTACCACCCAAGTAAACAATGTACAACTAAAGGCGCAGAAAATGCAGAAGTACGATGAGGTGCAAGGAAACAGGGCATTTAGTAACTCAAATATTCTACTTTGCAATAGCTCTACAAGTGGACAGGTATTCCTATAAACATTTTAAGCACTTATGCACGCTCTAGATATCTCACATACTTGAGTTCCCACAGCCCCATATGGGCCTTGGAGATAAGTTAAGTACCGATTTGTCTCTAGGAAAGTTTGAATGTACTTATTTAATCTCCCATTGGAAGATTAAATACTTCTGGGCCAGTAGAGTTAAATGACCTTGCGTGAAGCCGCTTTGCATAAGGCTAAAGGGGCTATAAATCGCAGGTCAATCGATAATGACCGAGTGATAGGCGAGGGGAGAATGCCAAGATAAGCAGTTAATAGGCCAGATACACACACACAAGAACCGCCAATGAACCTCCATTAAATCAAATATTGATGATCATCAGCTCAAAGACAGTGGTGATCAAATGGAATAAAATTAAATAACCGGAGTAAAATGCAACAACTAGGATCAACTTAACTTTGCTAATCATTAAATGACAAATTCGAACAAGAAATATAGAGAGAAGCAAACAACTGGTCATAGAAAATTTAAATAAATTAAACTCCAAGATTGAATCATTTCTTATTTTGCATAGAGCAACAATCTTTCAGGAAAACAGACTAATTACTTTTCGAAAGCCGAGTAGTATGAAATACTGATCATTCCCACTTTATAAATCGAATTTTGATCAAGTTCTGCTACCATCGGAAGAGCTTTGTAAACGGAAGTCAGTAGAGTAAGGAAAACGAAATTAAACAATATTCAAAAGGAAAGATTTAGTTGTTTATAATAATAGAAAGGAAATGTGAAAATCACAAGGCCATAACTACAATTATATGAATGGATCTCACTACAACAGTAGTGGATTTTTTCGGTGTTGTTAGCAGTACCTACAGGTGAAGACTCCTCCTTGCCATAGAATTGGTCCAACTAATATCAAATATGCATTTTTTAAAAATAACACGCCAAAGGTCCATTATTGGGATAACGAATTTTAGCTGCTTGAAGAACATATCGTGGTGGTCTAACCATTGGCGACGTGCCTTATATTAATGTCAGTACAGATGAGCATTAATCTTATGAGATAAACTTATCTTGAAATTACGCGAAAATGTATAGGGCGCCAAGGCAAATTTGAAACATAACAAATAAACCAATTGAAGTGGGGTCGGTTCATGGATAATCAGACCGATCGCAAGTTACAATACCCACAAATTTCCTACTTTGTTACCATATAAGTGAGATCTAGCAATCTAACAAGATACCTAGACAACTTCTATGATAAATCATTGCAATAAAACAAGATATTTACATTGAATTCACTCAAAAAATCTTTATAGCTCAAATCTTACCTTATATCAATAAACTTTCTCTGAGAATCATAAGATGGTACAGACACACAACCATGCAAATCTTTGAACCAATAGGATTAAAGTTGTTATTTTCTACTAAAAAAACGGAATTTGAACTGAACATAGGACATTCAAATGGAGAACTTCACTTATTCCGACCGAAAGTGTCAAACTTCAATCTTTACTACAAATAAACTATGAAGTGTCAAAAGTGACACATGCCCGTTTCAAGATGATACCTTTGGTACGAAATGTAATAAGCCAAGTTTGCACAATGATCTATGATGAAAAATTTAGTTCCAACTACACAAAATTATTTGTTGAAGAGATCAGACAAAATAAATAGATACGCTATATCTCCTCGTATCGTCCCCTTTTGGCGTTTAGTAGTACTACTGCGAGTACGCATGTACCCAACAAAAATAATGCGATTATCCTATTATGAAGAAACGAGTAAAAATAAGGACAATCATTAGGGAGAAATTGGAACTTACCTCGCAGAATTGTTCGTAAATATGCGCTAGCGGCAGGAATGAGAGGATTACATCGTTCTTTGTGAGGAACTAAAAGTGGAAGACGTGGCGTAATTGGCAAATGAAGTACCAAAATGAGACAACTTAAAATAAGCAAACTATAAGCAACATTGATTTACAATTCCAAAAATAACTCGGAAATTTAAAGTGACTAGGGTATAACTTCAATTGAAGTGGGAAAAAAGTTAAAATCAGACGTCTGGAGCCTGGAAAGTCGACTTTCACCACCCAGATTTATAAATACAGTTGCTTTGTCTCGAAATGAGCGATTAACTACGCACGCACACACACACACACAGACAGGTCTCCAAGTTCCCTGACACTCTTCTCAAAATAGAGCCACATGTTATTGTTCATCAAAAACGAAATGGTCACTAGTCGTGCGATTGGCTGACCTTTAAGGGTTAATGGTGTGAGAGTGACTTTTATTTCGATTAGTTTCCAAACCAGTCAAAGCAGCAGTAGTATTATTACACAGTAGTGCTTATGCACTAAGCCAGAGACGGCAACACAGTTACACCTAATTTACACACGTGCCAATAGAATCTTAAGGCCTTTGATCAATGTAATTTCAGACCTGCGTTACTCCGAGTTACTTGCATTTTCTAAAATAGAATTTAAGAGATGCCGGTGAATGCTATTAGGTGACACATTAAAAAATGAGTTGTACTTAATGCACTTCCTACGAATAAAGTACCCCAATCAACAAGCACAAATAAGTTAGTTCTAAGTCATCCGTAAAATGCTAAATTGCAAAGCACACCACCGCCTAAAAGGGATGTCATTCTTACAGAGATAAACGCAAAATCAGAATAAATGCATTTTGTGTCAAATTCAACTCTTCTACCACTCTTATATCCTATGATGGCCATTTACAAAACTCTAGATTCTAAAATCGATTTTTCTTAAACCAGACACACATCTAGAACACCCATAAAAATGTTCTGAACTGAAACCTGTCCACTTTGGTGAGTTTTAAAGGACCTCAGTTGATTATTAATAATTAGGGTCAACATCGAAGACCTTGTTCACATACACGGCGCTTACTCATTCCGATAATGCAACTAAGAATGCATTAATGGAGAAACCAATTATAGCGGATTGTCATTAAGCCATATATGCAGATGTCAATCAACATTTATTAAAAAATTCGATCACTAAAGGATACCAGAATCCACATTGCCACAGAGGCTAACGATGTCAATCTTTTTTGTGCAGGAACAAAAAAAATTTGGATTATCGATCGAGTTCTAAGCCATTGGAACAATAATAGAGAAGGATTCCCATTAAACTATGTACTTATTAAAGGTTCTCGCAAAAAGCTCTGCGGATGTTATATTTCTTAAAATATATTTAATTTCTTACGGGGCCGAATAGCTTCAGTGTGCCGGCAAGAACTGCTAGAAGATTGCGACTTGTAATCACCGGTCCTTTCGGAGTACCTACATGGTAAAAATGAAAGAGATTAGGAATTTTAAATAAATTCCACACAATGCTGGCTTCTAGCAGAGAGAGCCTTTTCAAACACTTACTTTGGAAAAAAAACGCTCTGAATTCCCATAACTATGAAACTCGAATTCCATTGCTTCTCTATTGACGCGTACTTACTAGTTCATACAAGCCTATTAAGAGAAGTACTTCACAAAAATTGACAAGAGAGGAGGAATAGTATTCTAGAGCCGCTATTATGAGAAAACTATCACCTTTAATAGCAACAATAAATAATCAATGAGATCGGTCATCTTACATCACTGAGTGGCTGATTACATTGATCTTGTGACCTGACTTGGTCGGTATACACCCCATCAGAATAAAAAAATGGAGACTATTGAATATGACAAAATAACCACTAAAAATTCGTAAAAATCGTGTGGTAATTTTAAAAGTAGCTTTCAAGTGTAGTTCATGGTACAACAAAAATAGCAACTTAAGGAGCATAGGAGTAGGGAAAGCTAGTCAAATTTGGCCAAACATTTTCCCAGGGATAAAAAAAGAGAGTTGACGACTTGCCTGTTGTTCCACTGGTGTAGCAGATAAGGGCGATATCATCTGCACCATGGGGCTAAAAGCAGAAGACAGCACAGCAAATGATGTGGCTCTTATGGCGCGCAAGAGGAGACAAGAAGGGGAATAAAACAGTCTTCTAAAACTTACGGTAAGAGGTTTTCGACGCCCCATTCCACGAACCTAAAATGTAAAGCCGTGTAGTTAGGTTAGCTAAGTATTCGGCTAAAACCATACACGCACACACACACCTAAATAGTTATCGTTAAAATTTTCTCGCATAGACTGAAGTTTGCCCAACCAATATTGAGGTACCATTTCTTCGCTGTGACACTTATTTACGAGAAACTGTTTACAATTCCTTAATCCTTTTCCGAATCAAATAATCGTCATTGAAGAGATTTTCTACATTCATTCGCATGCTCGAACGCGCCAGTCCTGTTATCACTTTCCGACACTAAAATGGCCATATTCCCCGTGAAAAATAAGAATTACGCCAATTTGTACTTTCGGAGCTACGTATGTACATATGAAAGTGATAAGATCGATTATCCCTTCTACTCTTGCGTAAAATTCAACATCAAAAATAGTATTATTTTATGCCAAATTTTAGCGTTAGCCTATTTCACGATGATAGAAATTCGCGTCAAATAACACAAAAATGCGAATTTTGTTGTGGGGTAACATTGAAAGACCAGAATCAATATAGAAAGAGAGCTTCGACGAGGTGTCATCACTCACCAGAAGATCGTCAAAGGGAATAATTTCAATTTCCCCAGCTGCTAATGTGCGGAGACGTTCCAATTCGCCTTGAGGTGAGACGAGGACAATATTTTTAAGCTCTGGGTAGGAACTTCGAGATATAATCAGCTTCCTAGCCCTCTCTGGGGTATCGCAAACTGCAACTGTGAGTTCAGCTAAAGGAATAAAAATTATGAGGGCTTCCTCAAAAAATAATAAAGAAGTAAGTAGATGTAAATGCAAAGCGTAATCGTTCATTGGCAGAGAGAGAGAGACTCAACCAGGTAATTTACTTGATGGAATGAAAAGACCCTCTACCTATTAGACCACTTTTGGGGATAAACGAATAAGCCAATCAGAGCAAAAAGAACCAACAGACTTACATTTAAGAATAAAGGAATAAGACAGATTGAAAGCGAATTAGGAGCAAATCGAGTATCATTTTAGGAAAAATCATGTGCATCAAAATCGAATGGTTGTGCTTTGTTGGAATCCACGTTTCTCGTGAACTAATAATTGGTTTTGCCTGAGAATAGACGCGTAGCAACTCCATTAGTTAATTTTCAACGTAAGTTCATATATGCCCTCATTCCTCTAGACAAATGTACCCTCTTGCACTTTTCTACCTTCTCTCACTTGATTCCACTGGGCCTAAGTTAATTGTATTGATATAATCGAGTGAATTTTCCTTTAGTCGGAAAGTTTCCTGGACCCGTTGTTATGACAAACTAGTATCCCATCCATCTCATTTTCGACAATCCGTGTTATTGGATGTGCAGGAGTGTGGGACCTCGTGACCTCCGATGAGAAAAAAATTAAACACCACTAGCGCGCTTAGTCATAAGATTACTTCAGTAGAAACCAAGACTCATATCATATTCTATTGAACAATGAATGAATGCACGCCTTCGTTATTAACACATTTCCAATGCCATTATATCATAAGTCCTGAGAAAGACATAAAACGACCAACTACCGAGTTTCTCTACTGAAGCTAATGACGTATATCAAGGAAAGGTATTCGGAGGAATGATATAATATTAAAAAAACCAAGTGAAATAAAATAGCATTACCTTCATTGCAGATATGTATCATAGCTTGCTGTCCCAGAGTATCGTAAAGGGTTACAACAGTCAATCCATAAGCCCAGCAACCGAATTCAGTAATAATCCACTGAAAAATAAAAACAAAATAAAGCAAATGTGGTACGAATAACAGCACTCAGTCATTGATCTAGAGCGGCTCTACTGGTTTAAACATGTCTGCTACTGACCACAGTATTACACTAAGAAATTCTGACCTACTAAGAGTGATATCCAGTGCTCAGAGAGAAACCAGATTTATTTAGGGGTAAGCCTACTCAATGCTTCTTAGCATTGAGCGAACTTAAATTACCTACAGTACCGATTATATTTCCATCACATAGCTTCATATACAATACACAGAAAGGGAAAAATTCCGAAGAAAATAAAGTGCTCAATAATCTTATGTGAAAATTAAAGTATATAAGATGATTGAAAAGAAATTCATTCAAAATTTGATTCAGAACCGTCAAACAATCCACAACTCGATAGAAGAAACTTTGTGGGAGCTTCACGCTGCGCTAATAATATGGCGAGCTCATGAACACAATTACCATTTGGATAACGGAGAAAAGTGCTAAAAATCTACTTATTTCAAGCTATCATATGCACAAAAATAGTTTTAATGAGGCTGATGCGAAATGACTAGGGGCCATTAAAATTGAAGTCGATTTCCATTTATCAAAGTATCACAGAGTCCCAATTTTGGAAGCTTTAAGTCCTGCAAAAGATATTGCCAGTTAAAACGACATATAGTGCTTTGCCATCTCCAATGATGATGATGATATAGGTGAATTTTCAAAGAATGACAATGTAGGCGAATAAACATTAATTATCACATTCCAAAATTGAGAAAAGCAAACAAAAGTGAAACTCAAAGAGGTTCTCAAACTACCCTCAAATATTAAGGCTTTTAAATTAAATGGAATAAAGAACGCCCAATTACAATCATATCAAAAGTCCCCATTACTATCCTAATTTTTAACCCTTTGAAATCCTAGCTTAATCAACAGAACTCAATTTCATATAATTCTTAATAACAAGAATGAAAATCAATATATTTGAGAATAATTATTTTTTCAACGTCACTCACAGCAGGACAATTTGAGGCGTAGATTCCGACACATTTCACGTCCTTATTAGATAACTCGGGCAGTTCAAGCAAACCCGAACCACAAGCCACTGCCTTCTCGTAAACCTAAAAGGAACGAAAAATAAAAGTTAAATACAAAATGAAGAAATTTTGTTAAATAATTAATAAATTGGAAGCATTTACAATTGCACGATGTATTATTCACCGATATGGGGAAAATATTTTATCGAGGAAAAGCAAAATCTTGCTCCTTATATATCAAGCTTTCTGTCCCAATTACAATCTAAAAAGTTTCAGTTTCCTGACCCAGGGTTGATTTATAACTACTGATCCATTCTTTTATCTGGACACAGTTAATATCCACGAGAAGAAATAATTTAAATAAAGATATTTTGTGAAGATTCCAATACTTACTTGCTCATAGGTCCACCATTGATAGGGAGCTGTTAACGATTCATGCCATCCAAGAAATGGGTCATTCGCTAACGTAAAGAGAGGAATTATGTACTTTCAATTAAACTTACGTTGACGTTTGACTGAATTTTTCAACAAATCATAGAGAGTTGACACGCCATCAATTTGGTCAAATAGTGGACCATTCAATACGCACTGCGCAACATGAATGCCCTCCTATAAAATGAAATTGAGAGTAAATAATGAGCAGAATCAATCTATTATGTTTCGAGTACATTAACAAGACTAACTTGTTCGTCTTTTACAGCGGAATGATTGTTAAATGTAAAGTTCATACGAGAGGAATTGGACGCCTGCATTTTTTAACTAAAAAATATAAAGCATATATTGATATTTGAGTATTTACAAACGCATAAATAAGAGAATCGATAATTCAAAGTAAATATTGAATGCATACAAAACGTGTAAAAAACAGTAAAAGTGAAAGATTTATCTAATGCGCCGAATAAGAAATGTCGTTATTAATAACCTCAAAGCCAATAGTTTACAATAAATTGATATAATAGTTCAATGTCACAACACAGCAGTGCAAAGTAGTGAATCTCAACACATTAAAGATTTAATTTAGCTGGTCTGAGTTCAACTTATGTATTTGATAAAGCTAAACAATATAGCAAAAGTTACTCTTTTAAAAATGTTTTAAATAAATATTATTAAAATTTGACTGAAATTTTATATTTTTAAAAGACACTGTTTGAGCTTTAGATGCGGAAATCGCTTTTAATATTAATGCAAGTGGTATGAAATATTTTATTGCCACAAAATGCAACGATATATAACAGCAATTTTAATCCGAGCAAAACGATTAGCAATGAATTCACGCTCTTTGTCATTTAATGGCATTAATATCATGCATTAAGTCTATTTTATATAGTTATAATGAATTAGTTAAATTGGATTTGAAATATCATGCTTGTTTCCTGCAAAATTAACCAACTCAGGCAATACATAATCTTGTCTTTTACATCGGTGCCAACTATTCAGGAAACAGTTTAACACATTATATATATACGAAAATATGCTGATTATAACATTTCCAGAGAAATTTTAAATGCGCTTATGTAAAAAAATCATCAGAGAAGTGAATTAGACTACAGATTCCTAGTTTCTACACTCCAGTGAATTGTAGCAAGAGATATGTGTGGTATCAAGAACGCCTTTTGGGTACCGGGTCAGTCATAACATCGAAAATTGATAACAATAATGACAAAAAGAGAATTCTTACTTTTACCCTAAATTGACTAAATTTAAACAATTTTTTAGTCATTAGAGTACTGTTTCAATTTAAAAGAGTTTAATTTTATGAACTGTAGGTATTTACTATGCTCCATTATAATTTCCATATCTAGATATTTAATTTGTATGATCGTTGATCGGCATCTTCCCAATAATTGGATCGTTAAATTATATCCTCAAAAGAACTTCTTGGTTTGCAGGAAAGAAACTCAATAAAGACAGAGAGTAGTTTCGAGTTCACTAGTTCTTCATGACATTTTCTTATAATTTCCTTTTCAAACGATATGAAGAATAATCACTTCTTCCGGTTTTTCAAACTTTTCTGCTAAGAATGGTTCCTTGCTTTCTCTTTGTGACTGTTTCGGGATATTTATTGGTAAACTTAGTTTGATTTCCTTTTATATCCCAAAAGAACTTTTAAACAAGACACCGTTAGCTAACTCGGTGCCTCAATTTCCTCTGTTTGCAACCTTTAACATATGGTGGTAATTTATGGTTCATGTAGTTTTTTATAAAAAAATGCTATTTAGAATTCAAGCGCGATCCTGCGTTAGGAGCATTTTGATGTAATTGGAATCCTTTCCACTTGAAATATTACCAAGTTGAGTCTTTGAGCCGATTTTTTTTCAAAATCCCCTTTATTTCTCTTGATATGAAATATTTTTAGGTTAGACAGCAAGAGAGTTGTTTCAGGATGGCCTAAGATCATAGCGAGGTGTTTTAGTGCCACACCTTGAGGTTTTTTCTTCAGAATAATATTCTGAGGTCAGTCTGGTTTGGATGTACTATTGTTTGAAAACCACATTATTAGGAAAAGGTCACAT